TGTTTTTCACTGAATTTTTTAATTTTCAGATTTTGAATATTGTGGCACTGTGATATATCACTATGTGTGAAACACATCAAATGAAGAAGAAAACGACACTCAAATATATAAACCAGAGCCCATTTAATGTGTATCGCTTGTTATGGCATCTTGTGGCGTATAGCAATGTGAATGGATTACTCTCCTAATTTACTATTTATAATTTAAAATAGTTCAACAGTGTAGTATCTATGCTTTGAGGGTATATGAAATATATTAATGAAATCCCTCATGTGAAGAAAAAAATGAATATGAACAAAATCTATTTCGTTGTCGTCTTCCGGTTCATTTTAGCTAGAAATGTGTCTTCATGGTCAGGATGTATCACTACAAAACTAATGCTGTATTCCTAATATTTCATGAAGGATGTGCCCTAAAATGTTGGGCCGTTTTTGCTGTGAACCCTGCAACTCATTTACATCATGAACGTGTGCTTGTTTCGACATATCATTATACGGACATATTCCATAAGGAAGAAAAATCAATAGATCAAAGAGAGTACAGTGCATTCATGAAAACTTTGGAAGTGCAAATATCATGTGATCTATCAAGTCGAAGTGTCGCCTGCAGTGGAAGTGTCACCCCCAGTGGAAGTGTCTCCTCCAGTGGAAGTGTCTCCTCCAGTGGAAGTGTCACCTCCAGTTGAAGTGTCACCTCCAGTAGAAGTGTCTCCTCCAGTTGAAGTGTCTCCTCCAGTGGAAGTGTCACCTCCAGTAGAAGTGTCTCCTCCAGTTGAAGTGTCACCCCCAGTGGAAGTGTCACCTCCAGTTGAAGTGTCACCTCCAGTAGAAGTATCTCCTCCAGTGGAAGTGTCTCCTCCAGTGGAAGTGTCACCTCCAGTGGAAGTGTCACCTCCAGTTGAAGTGTCACCCCAGTGGAAGTGTCACCTCCAGTTGAAGTGTCACCTCCAGTGGAAGTGTCACCTCCAGTTGAAGTGTCACCTCCAGTGGAAGTGTCACCTCCAGTTGAAGTGTCACCCCCAGTGGAAGTGTCACCTCCAGTTGAAGTGTCACCTCCAGTTGAAGTGTCACCTCCAGTTGAAGTGTCACCTCCAGTTGAAGTGTCACCTCCAGTTGAAGTGTCTCCTCCAGTTGAAGTGTCACCTCCAGTGGAAGTGTCTCCTCCAGTGGAAGTGTCACCTCCAGTTGAAGTGTCTCCTCCAGTTGAAGTGTCACCTCCAGTTGAAGTGTCTCCTCCAGTTGAAGTGTCACCTCCAGTTGAAGTGTCACCTCCAGTTGAAGTGTCACCTCCAGTGGAAGTGTCACCTCCAGTAGAAGTGTCACCTCCAGTTGAAGTGTCTCCTCCAGTTGAAGTGTCTCCTCCAGTTGAAGTGTCACCCCCAGTGGAAGTGTCACCTCCAGTTGAAGTGTCACCTCCAGTTGAAGTGTCTCCTCCAGTTGAAGTGTCTCCTCCAGTTGAAGTGTCTCCTCCAGTTGAAGTGTCACCTCCAGTGGAAGTGTCACCTCCAGTGGAAGTGTCACCTCCAGTTGAAGTGTCTCCTCCAGTGGAAGTGTCACCTCCAGTGGAAGTGTCACCTCCAGTGGAAGTGTCACCTCCAGTTGAAGTGTCACCCCCAGTGGAAGTGTCACCCCCAGTGGAAGTGTCACCCCCAGTGGAAGTGTCACCTCCAGTTGAAGTGTCACCTCCAGTGGAAGTGTCACCTCCAGTGGAAGTGTCACCTCCAGTGGAAGTGTCACCTCCAGTGGAAGTGTCTCCTCCAGTGGAAGTGTCGCCTGCAGTTGAAGTGTCTCCTCCAGTGGAAGTGTCTCCTCCAGTGGAAGTGTCTCCTCCAGTGGAAGTGTCGCCTGCAGTTGAAGTGTCTCCTCCAGTGGAAATGTCTCCTCCAGTGGAAGTGTCGCCTGCAGTTGAAGTGTCTCCTCCAGTGGAAGCGTCTCCTCCAGGTGAAGTGCCTCCAGTAGTAGAAATGACGCCTCCCGTGGAAGTGTCCCCTCCAGGTGAAGTGCCTCCAGAAGTAGCTGTGCCTCCAGTTGAAGTGTCTCCTCCAGTGGAAGTGTCGCCTGCAGTTGAAGTGTCTCCTCCAGTGGAAGCGTCTCCTCCAGGTGAAGTGCCTCCAGTAGTAGAAATGACGCCTCCCGTGGAAGTGTCCCCTCCAGGTGAAGTGCCTCCAGAAGTAGCTGTGCCTCCAGTTGATGGAGCTACAGCGGTAATGGAAAAAAAAACTTGAATTATCTCTCTCTATATGTCATCTATATTAAGGTTCTTCAACTGTTTTCATCCCGACCAAGTATGTCCATTCGACACACACACACACACACATATATTGTATATACAGATTATATGTATTAGAGGAGAGAGACACACAAGAGGAGAGATGAGAGGAGAGGAGAGAGATGAGAGAGAGAGAGAGAGAGAGAGAGAGGATGAGGAGAGAAGGAGAGAGAGATGAGATGAGAGAGAGGAGAGGGAGAGAGGGAGAGAGAGATGGAAGAAAAGAGATAGAGAGAGAGAGAGAGTGAGTGAGAGAGAGAGAGGATGAGAGTAGAGATTGAGAGAGAGAGAGTGGAGAGAGAGAGAGGGAGAGAGAGAGGAGAGAGAGAGGAGATGAGAGAGGAAAAGAGGAGAGGAGAGAGAGAGGAGAGAGATTAGGAGATAAGAGAGAGAGAGAGAGGAGGTGAGAGGAGAGAGAGAGAAGAGGAAAAGAGAGAGAGAGAGAGAGAGAGCAGGAGGGAGAGAGAGGGAGAGAGAGAGAGACAGAAAGAAAGAAAGACAGGAGCGTAGAGAATGAGATGAGAGATATATATATATATATAAATATATTTATATATATATATATATATATATATATATATATAATATATATATATACATAAGATATATATTATGTTATATATACATACAGGACACACACACACTACATATACTTATATATACATAATATAAGAATTCTGTCAGGGTTAGAAGGATCTAATCCTTAACTGGAGTCCCTAGCCACATTGCATCAGAGGGAATGGGAATGCGCTGCTGATAGCGAGCCGACATGGCAGGGGTATACCCCAAAATCCTCATGGGTCATACAACCAACCGCCAAATACAAGGTACTCAGACCACCAGAGGCTATGAAACCATCTGGCACTCTCTGAAATAATCAACAGGGGGTAACCGAAGTCATTTCACAGTAATTAGACTAGGTTTACCACGTGAGACAGTAGGCCGTGAAGGAGAGGTTTGCATGTTTGCGGCGAAGCCGAACGCCACCCTGGTATATGACTTACAGAATGTGAGCGCACACAATTCCTAAGACAGGGACCACCAACAACAAGCCGCCGTGCTGGTAAAGAAATGGACGCGGTATGCTTTACACCCTGCGGCAGGAACGCCGCTGGCATCCCGCCGCCACGGTTGCATCGAGTATCAGAGAACAAAGTGAGACTGGCATAAGAAGCTGACAACAGGCCGGGCCATATATTTTTTTTTTTTTTTTCCAGTATCGACTTGAAGGACTCTCCTCTATTCTCTCCCTGCGGTGAATAGCCTTTCCGGCTTAATTCAGAGTGAGGGGAGGATTTTCTGGCCAGGAATACCGACGGGGTGCAGGGGTGGGCTTCGCCGTCGGTAAGCGAAGAAGACACCGTGATGCCGTAACGCGAAAACCGGTCGCACCATCATGCCGACACGCCAAGAAGACAGTCACCTGATGCCCGGAGTACCGCGGGTGGCAGCCACGCCCTGCCGAAAGGCTACCAAAGGGGGTCACCGTGATGCTGATTCACGGGAAACTTGCCGAGGGTGTTTTTAAAAGAGATTGACTGGACAGCCCTCGGCGAAATCATCACCTCGGCTCTACTGTTGCCGGACGCTTCGGCGCCCACCCTCTTTGCTGCCGCGACGCTATTTTGCTGCTGTGGATTTTAGCTTCGGGCCCTATAGCCCTATACTTTCCTTTACGATTTTTTAGGCATTAGGATGACTCTCTGGTCACCTTCTGGTGAACTGGGACCCCATCTTTCGGGCGCGTGCTCGGATCGTGGGCAGACCTTACCTCCCGCAGGGGAGGGTGTGTCTGGGGGGCTTAGTGCAGGCTTTACAGGCACAAGCGGAGTTGCCAATCTTTTTGCTAGGGACTGGTCTGGCAGGGCCATTAATGACTGCCACTCTAGTTATTCGTTAGGGGCGATAGGCAGGTAGGAGCCCCCCCCCTTGGTATTAGCTCTGTCGAAATAGCTGCTGCTAGACAGAACACTGCCTTATTGGCGCACTGGAAACACATTGAAAGTTAGCTTCTCTCCTCATGTGGTGAAGCAGCAGCCTTTTGGCGGTCTGCTTCTGAGGGTTGTAGGAGTTACTTGAAAAGGTGCAGCCACTCCTCCTTTCTCACTGTGGGTGAAACAGCCTTTGGGTGGCAGTTTCAGAGGAAGGAGGAATCATTTGAAAAAGGTTAGGCCCTCTCCTCCCTCCACTGGTGAAACAGCCTTTGTGTGGCTGTTCAGAGGGATGATAGGAACTAGCTGGAAAAAGTGAAAGAGCTCCATCCCTCACTGAGGGAAGCAAACCTTTGGGTGGCATCTTCTGAGGGATGAGCAAAGGGTTCCAAACAAATGATGTTCAGTAGGTGGACGAACATCCCTTGGTTCTCTCCCAGGGGTTAACACCTACACTGGCCCTACAATGATTTTAGTCCAGCCACTGAACCACCTTGAAAAGGTAGCTCCTCTCCCTCTGTGAAAAGAGCTCCTGATATAAAAGTTGCAGGACTACTCCTTTCTCGCTGAAAGAGGAATTTTCACTTTGAAAAAGGTTCAGACCCCCTCCTCACTCATGTGGCGAAAATTCGAGGAGGAGAGGACTAACTGGAAAAAGTGAAAGAGCTCCATCCCTCCCTGAGGGAAGAGCACTAGGGTTCCAAACAATGATGCTCCTGTAGGTTGAAGGGCATACCCCATGGTCTATCAACAGGGGTTACACCTACTCACGCGGTTGCGTGCGTGCAGCCTTGTGCGCTGGGAGACGGAGTCCTGGAGTCTGAGCGACGCCGTGAATGAGTAAGCCCTGCGGCTAGCAACCGCCTCTTTGGTCACTTACTCCAGCAAGACAGGCGACCTGATCCCGGCCCGGTCACGGTCAATCGGATGGTCCCCATGGGAGGCTAGGGCCAAGCAGTCATGCCTCCATGGCACTCACAATGGTCCATGAGTGCCGCCACAATGGTTATGGGCCTGCGTATATTCCTCTCATCACCCCTGTGGGTGTCAGGACACTGGCTCTGACACACGCTTCCCCTGTGGAATCCGGGTGGGTAGGGCTTGAGGAGGATGAATCACTTACCATATATGGGAAAAAATTAAAGTAACCCCCCCCCCACAGACTGAGATAAACGTTGCGACCCCATGCAAGGCCATACCACGGCAACACACCCTGGAACCATTCCGCGTTCCAGATGTGGATTGTCCATCAACGGTGAAAAAGGTGGACTCTCGGGCTGAACCAGCCGAACCAGCAGCTGCTGCCCCCACGAACAAGCCCCCTAGCCGAAAGGGGCGCACCGAAGCGACCAAGGCGGAGACAGACTAGATGGAGGAGTCTGGACCCAGCAAAAAGTGGCTTCACAGTTCAAGGTCCAGCCAAACCCGAAGGCTTCGACAATGCCTACACCCCCCCCCCGTTGGTAAGAGCAAGTAGAGTTGCAGAGGCCAGATCCGGCTCTCAATCGAGTTGCCAAAGAACAGGGCATGATCCATAGGTGGGTTACCGGGGCCTGCAGGTATACATATAAGGACTAACTCGATTTGAGAGGACAGAATCTGCCTCTGCAATCTCTAATGCGCTCTGACAATTTTCTTCCTTTCTCCTCCTCTTTTTTTTTCTTTTCTCCTTGTCCTTTTTTTCCTCTCCCTTCTTCCCCCTTCTGCGAAGATCATTGCACCAGCAAACTTCTTCGGGAAATAAGGGAACTGAAAGATGGCGAAGAAAAGTGAGCCTTTCCCATTAACGCCCGAGGATAAAGAGAACAAGATTGGTTGCTTAATGCTTCTCAGTCTCGTGCACGATGTGGAGCTAATCAATTCGCATCCTCAGGTGGTGGAGGCTTCCCGAAATGGCAGTAAGGGAAGACTCAACAAGGCAAGTCCTGGTGACCTGAAAGGTGCCCCCAACCACTTACCCTGGATCGGATGGCGTAACTGGGGCACCTACAATCTGAGGACCTAGTGCCTGAACCACTTCGGTGTTTCAAGGCCGAAATACGGTCACCCAGGCTAAATTGCACAGCCCAAGCCTAAATGTTGTGTCTGTAGTAGCACACAACACCGAGTATGCCTCACGGCCCCAAAGAGAAAAAAGGAGACAACAGCCAAATGTCCCAACTGACGCCAAGAGCATCACGCCTGGCAGCCTGGACTTGCTCTGTCAGAAAAGAGGCGGGCCTCTCAAACGACAAGAGATTGCTGAAAGCGATCAGATTTCATTCCTGCCCCCCAGGCACCTCAAATGTGGGGGCAGGAAGAAAAGTGAAAAGGCCTTCCCGACCTCCTAAGAGGAAGGAGGCCGCACCACAGCGACACGGACGTCTCCAACCCAACGGAGTTTCCGGAATGCCGAACAGAAAAAGAACAAAAGGAAGAAAATGTTCTAAGAAGAAGGCAGACAAGCCCTCGTCAAGAGATGACGATCTCTCTTTGACGAGGCAGACAGGGACTCGCTCGTGACTGCTGTGGTGACAGCAGTGGCGACAGCCCTAGGGAGGACAAGGGAAGAGGCGGAGAGGAGAAGGCAGTGACCCGGTCCGCCATGACGGGCAATGACCAAAGACTGTCGCGATCCTGAAGGCAGAAGAAAAGCAGGCCCAAGCACAAACCAGAGTCTGGCCTCTTGTTCAGGACGAGAATCCCCTCCCAGCTCCACCAGGCAAAGCCATCGCAGGCAGAGCCACAACAGGCCTACGTCTGCACAGCCAGAGCCAGACGTGCTGAGCCTGCCCCGGCAAGGCCAGCCAAAAAGAAAGTGCAGACAGGCCTGCGAGGAAAAGCCAAAGCCTCCAAAGTCAAAGCTACCAAAGGCTCTCAACCCCCCAGGGACCCACAGTAAACCTGAACTTCAGACGAAGAACTCTCAGCCGAAAGAAGAGGACTTCGTGATGTTGGGCGATCGGTTGTGACGGGGCTCAGATGTAACTATCGGACTGTAACAGCATTGCACACAATCTAAGCATCATACAGGGAACATAAATGGCTTTTCCGGAAGGAATGCCAATGCTCAAGCAGTAGTGCGATCAAGGAGCATCGACGTTGTCATGCTCCAGGAGACATCGAACGGCGGGACACTGTTACGCTTCGCAGGGGTTATCACGCGTTCACGAGCACAAAGCGCTGGCAATAAGAGGCTGATCACCCTTGTCAAAGCAACAAATCCCCTGCTCCGCAATTAGCGTGCACCGCACTGTGGAGACGAGACAGAATCTCTCGCCGTTAGAGATCCACCTGGCCGGGGCCCCCCTCAAACTGTACAAACGTGTACAACGGCCAGGCTGTAGTAGCTTAGATATTAGCCGGGTCTGTGCGTCTGCTGCACAAGACCGATGTGATCATTGGGGGAGATCATCTCATCCCATCTAGCTCCCTCCGGGGACCGGGATGACGGCGGGCCCCACAAACTCAGCGTGCTGGAGATGTCTTCCCCGAGATCGCTTCCTCAACCCAGAGAGCCAACGATGTCGGCGGTGGGGTTATAGACCTCACCCTGGTCAGCGACTTGGTGGACCAGGATTAGTGGTGGTTGAGAGACGTCACAGGACCACTTGGGGACGGTAACCACCCTCATGGACGCAGGCCCAACCGAAATCCCACGACCGAATCCAAGATGGAAAACAGACAAGGCAAATGGCAGGGCGTTTCAGAACGCCTTGGCTCACTGTCTGATAGGCAACGAATCCACACAAGCCGAAAGGGATGTGCTGAAAGCCAGACTGGTACAAAGCCATAAACCAAGCAGCCTCACTGACCACACCAAGAACGCGGCCCGGGTCGCCAGCGTCTTGTTTAACGACGCAGATCAGGGAAGGTCAACCACAGGGTGAACATGTGCCGAAAAAACTGTTCGAAGGCAAAGAACCCCCGACAACCGCACTGCTGAGAGGAGGCTTGTCAGGGAGGCCAAGGAAAACTGACCAGCAGAGTCAGGCAGGAGACATGGTTGGAATGGTGGAGGGCATTCAGCCACCAACCACCGTCTCAGAGCTGTGGCAACGGGTCAGGCGAGCTACCAGCCGCTCAGCCCCGAGACAACGCACTACGACCCCACAAGCAGAGGCAAACAGTACTGGCGCAACAGTTCTCTGAGGAACAAGCAGCAACAGTCTTACCAGCTGAGCTGAGGCGCCAAACAAGAAAGCCTGAAAGCAGCACAGACTTGCTCAGATCAGAGAAAGAAAGGGCAGCCGAAGCCGA